TCCCTGGAAACATTCCAGGTCAGGTTGGACGGGGCTCTGAGCAACCTGATCTAGTTGAAGATGTCCCTGCTCATTGCAGGGGGGTTGGACCAGATGACCTTTAGAGGTCCCTTCCAACCCAAACTATTCTATGATTCTGTGAGTACTTAGTTGAGTTACTGCAGACTTTTCCATAGTTGTAAGAGTGCAAATATACAAAATGTTTGAATCTGAGTTAACTGGCTATTATATCTAGGCTGCTTGTTGGAATAAAACTAAGCTAGTAAATAGTGTTTCAAGTGCACTAGTTTTCACTGCATGGTGGTTCAAGTTTTTTGTCATCTTACAGTAGTTTGAGGTTTCTCAAAGTGTACATTTTCTTGCTTTAATTTTTTTGCTGTAACTTAAATAGCTCTATCTGTATTTCAGCACAGTGGCCTCTGTGCTAAAATAAACAGAGCTTATACAAAGATAATCACATTCAGAATGCAGAACTTTCTTATTGATGGAGATTTCCACACTAGAGTTTAGCAATAAAATGGGGGGGGAAGCACTCCAATGAGTAGAACTGAGTCCTTTGTAAACCAGCCCCTGATTGTGTTCACATGATGAGAAAATGTTCAGATTTTTGTTTCTTAAGAAAACTTCAGAATTAAATAAAATTGTCCCCTTAATTTATCCTGTTAAAAGGACAGGAAACTGTTGTGTATAGGCTGGACATGTAGTGTATGATGGTAAGTTATGACTCTCTGAATAAATTAACTTTTTTTTTTCCTGAATTGAAGTATTTTGTGGATTTTCTAAAAAACTTGTGATGAAATACGGTGTCATTCTGGGAGGGGCTGGCTTGCTTTTGGACTGTGGAAAAAATTAAGTGTTGCATTTCTGTAAAACAGTGGTGCATAAATAACAGACAAAAATACTGCCTTAAAGGTGACCTTGTGAGGATGAGAAAAAGACTATGTACTGCTTGTTCTCTGTGTGCTTATAACATGTTTGAACTATGATTTCCTGGCCTTGTTAGAAATTTTATGAAATGGAAGTCTCAGTCTTAATTTTTCCAAAGAAAGATGGTGCATGTATGTGAGGGTAAGTACATGCATGGGGAGGAGCATGTGAGAGCTGGTGTTTTCCGCAGGAGCTGTCAAGAGCAGAGAATGGTAGATATCAGAATTCGACAGCTTTAATAGAGGCCTCTTTGTTTACTGTGTAGACTTCTTACACTCTTAATGTTTATTCCAAGTTTTTTTCCAATTTTGCAGCTTCTTTTTTTCAGTCCTAGAGAAGGGGGTAGCCTTATATAGTGCATTCCACTAAATCTTATTGCAATTAAAAAAAAAAATATATATTGTCCAGGATACAACAGTCTTCCCTTTAACACATTTAAGAAATATCTCCTACTGTGAATTGTGCTTTGATGAAGTGAAAGTAAGAACTTGTCCTGTTGTATATACTGACAAGAGGTTTAGTCCAGCTTGCATGCAGTTACTTTTTGACTTACTGATGTAAAACATACCTATCTGCCGTAATTCCAGCAGAAAACAGCAACACTTTCATAGTTACCACAGGATATAGGCCTCACATTTAACAGTAATTGTTATAAATTTTGTGGGATTTCCAGTGAGAACATTCAAATGGATCTTTTCAGCTGAGGTTCTAGGACCCACAAGATTCTTCATTTCCAGAAACATTCGGTGAACTTATGGCTTCTTTAGATGTTAGTACTGCAGCATATATGCATTGTGCAAAATTTTTATTCCGGATTACATCACTTGAAGAATTAGATTAGTTGCTTATGGCTATGAAGAGAACACAGGCTTCCTGGGATAATGCATCAGTTTATACCCGTTGCAAACTGAAATAAGTCATTCTTCAGGTTCTGTTAGGAACTAGCTCACAGCTGCTCCTGAAAGCATCAGTTTGTGAAACAATCTAAGAAATGTTGATTTGACTCTGTTCTGTAGTCTCAATCTTGTATTGATTTGTTCTATGACAAAATAAACAAAAGCTTTAAATATTAGCACCAGATGTAAGAATGTGTTAGCATTTTGAAGAATTTGGAGGTTCAGGCAGAAGATTACGGACTTGAGTAGGCAATGCTACTTAACCTGCCATAGATCTTGCTGTTGTTACCTTAGACTTTTTTTGTGGCTTCATGCATATTCCAGCTGTGCTGCTTAAGGAGCCTCATTTCCACATAAGGTATAGTTGCACGTATTTTTCTTAAGCAGCCTTATGGTAGTTCAGCACAACCTGCTGTAAGCCAGGTATAGCTCTTTATGTGCTTATGTGACGAATTGGATTGGTGTCTGATCTGGTTGGGAAATTTATTTTTCAGATGGGTCAGCTCTACATTCTGGTTCAGTGCATAAACATTTCTTCTAGAAGAGCATAGGAGATGTTCCTTCAAACAAGTGGTGAGGGAGGAAGAAAAGAGGGAGCGCTTAACTGCTTAAGTAGTACAAGTGTCAAATGTCTACTATAGCCTTATTAATCTGAGGCACAAGAAAGTGATATTAGTTACAGTAGAGAGTGCTTCAGTGGTTATCACAGTGGGAACCAAATTCTTTTGTCACTCCCTTTTGGGAATTTAAACAGAAGGCAGAGATGCCAGATGAAGCAGGTAGAAGGTGAATATATTACTGAGGTTATCGTTGCCTGTGTCTCTCAGTAGTCTTCAGTACAAGAGTTTTTCTTTGAAATAGTCCTTGAGACTAATGTTGCATTGTTGTATGTTGACAGCCTAATATTTTGACAGGGAGGGGAACCTGCCTGGTACCAACTATTAAGGGAACATGTGGTATGATATGCACAGTTTCTGTCACAGGATAGAGTCAAAAGTACACGGACTGAAAATAGCTTTGTACGCTACTCTATATTATTAATTTGTGGTGTGTTTTTAAAGAAACTCTAGGTAATAAATGGATTTCTATTACTTTACCCCAAAATAATAAGGTTCAACATGTCTCCTGTTTTATTCTTTTTAATGTCAGAAAAGAACCATGAAAATCAGTAACTGATTTTTATAGCTCAGTGGTCACCATGCTGTACCATGTATTGTGTTCAAGGTATTTACTGTCCATATATACAGCTATAGGGGAAGATGTAAGCCTTAATTAAGCATGCAGTTTCGTTGATGGCTAAATATTAGAGCTATTTAGCTTAAACTTACATAACTTCTATAAGCAGTAGCCTGTAAAACTCTCATGTTTAAGTATTGGTAAAACAGACATCATCCATACATTTTGCAGGCGACATACATCAATATTTGCTCTGTGAAAGTAATAATGTTTTCACTGACTGTAAGAACTACCTTTCAATGCAAGTTGCAAGAGTTCTGTCTTAATTCAAAATTACATTGTCAAGCAGTATTCTTAATATTATGAAACAGTTGTATTTCAGTTACCACTGTTTTGCTTTTCCCACTGGGATGTTAGTCTTAGCAGTAAATGGCTTTTCTCTTATTTCAGTTTTGCTCTCCAAAAATCTGATGCTTCTTTTTCTTGATGCATATCTATTTTTATTTCTAGGCCTTTCTTAAAACCTTCCATGTCTAAATGGACTCCTGAATGTAATATAGTTTATACTCTAAAAGCGGATATGAAGAGTGAAGTTTCTTCTGATGCACCAAAGAGACAGGAGAGTCTGAAGGGGATCCTCTTGAACCCTGAGCCTATTGGGGCAGCCAAAAGCTTCACTGCAGAAGTTGAGATGATTGCCAGTAAAGTAGGGAATGAGTTCTCTCACTTATGTGGTGATTCTCAAAAGCAGAAGGACATGAATGGCAACCGTACAGACCAAGACAAAAGTATTGTGCGAAAAAAACGCAAGAGCCAGCAGGCTGGTCCTTCATATACTCAGAATTGTCCTGATAAAGAAAACCAAGGAATCTTAGGATTAAGACAGCATCTAGAAACACAGAGTGAAGACAATGATTCTTCGTTTAGCGACTGTATCTCTTCGCCTTCATCTAGCCTACATTTTGGAGATTCTGACACAGTAACATCTGATGAAGAAAAAGATGCTCCTGTAAGACACCCTCAGGCAGTGTTGAATACAACAAGTAGAACTCATAGTGCAAGGTCACAAAAGTGGCCTCGGACTGAGGCAGACTCTGTACCTGGCTTATTAATGAAAAGGCCCTGTTTTCACAGTAGTTCTTTAAGAAGACTTCCATATAGGAAGAGATTTGTGAAAACAAGTTCGTCGCAGCGGACACAGAACCAAAAAGAACGTATTTTAATGCAGAGGAAAAAGCGGGAAGTGTTAGCTCGAAGAAAGTATGCTTTACTACCCAGCTCTAGCAGTTCCAGTGAGAATGATCTCAGTAGTGAATCTTCTTCCAGTTCATCTACTGAAGGGGAGGAAGACTTATTTGTGTCACCTGGTGAAAACCACCAGAACAGTACAGCTGTTCCTTCAGGTAAAACTAAATTCCTGAGGTGCTTTTTATTAATGAGCTTTCATCATGTACAATATGCTTTTTTCATAAGTGATTTGGGGCAGTTATTTGTGTTTTTATGGAAGTTATACTGCAAATAGACTTAGTGCAGGTAATGTGAACGTTACACGATAAATTCTTGATGGGAAAAGTATATTCAGAGCTTCCAGTAAAATTACAACAAATCTAGAATTCTTTAATGTAAAAGGTAAAGTTAATGGTTTCTAAACAATGTACTGGAAGGTTGCTGAATCTGATTAGTCACATGCTGTGGAGTTGCTCCATTTTTTTTTTTTTTTAGCTGTTGAATTGTATAAAAAATTTTAGCTATTATAGCTTTGTCAGCTGATTGTGGGAATAACAATTCTGTCTGGTTTCAGAATGTAGAAATATCTGCTAATACATAATTAACTGCACTTAACAACTTAAAAAAAGATGAGAAGAAAAAAAGAAATTTATCACTGTGCTAAAAGCCTGAAATAGGATTCAGTTGAAGGTAGCTTTAGTAGTGCAGTAAATAATAAGAGAAAATTCAAAGGCCTGAAGTTGCGGAAAGCAAAGTATTGTATATGTATAAGCAAATGTTTTACCTAGATAGACTCCATGCAATAATCTTGCAGTTGGTTTACATAGATGTTCCTCTATTATGTCTTGACACGGTATTTGAGGGCATGCTTGAATGTTTGGAGTGGGGTTTTTTTGGGGGGTGTTTTTGGGGTTTTTTGGTTAGTATGTGTTTTTGTTTTTTTTGTCTTGTGTAGTTGTGGGGGGTTTTTTGCCATCTACCAATTTTCTTGGACTTCCTTTCATCTTAAATTTGCCAAGTGAAAGGCAGTCCCAAGACTGGGACCAGTAACATTCACAATGTTGTAGTTGTGCCTTCTGTTTATCATTTCAGCTTTTTAGAGAGCATGGAGAAGTACATACATAGAACACAGCATAGTGTTAATCTGTACAACCATGGTTTTTGCGTAGTGACAAATGTGTTGTAGAAAGTGAAACTGTATCTCAGACTGTGCCGATCATTCCTCTACGAAAAAAAACCCTGAAAATACAAGGACAGGTTTAAAAAAAAAAAAAGTCTGTATGTTCATGTTAGGGCAGGATTTATGCTTGAACAGAACCAGAGTACTAAAGACTAGATTATTGCTTGTTTTCTATTGTAGCAGGAAATAATTTGTGTGTTGTTTTTTAATGTACTGTTTAAATATGAGAATTAAAATTTGTAATGCAAAAAATCTTACTTATGCAGTGCTAGGGCTGCATAAATAACTCTGAAACAGAAGAATTATTGCACAGCCTTAATTATCTTCATGCATATTTGTGGGGACAGAAATGTAATTTTTTAAGCCTAAAAAAGTTACATTTGACACGCAAGTTCAAGCATATTGAAGGGTATGATTTGTAAATAATTAATGTATGGGGATATGCATACATTCATATTAAAAACCAATTTGGGAAACTACTGTGTTAACACTTCTGTTTCCAAGTTAATAGTTTCTTCTCGTTTTCAGAGAGGATGGAGTTTCATGTAACTGTAAAATGATGTAGGACCATTAACAACTCTCTTTCCACACAGAGCACCATGCAACAGTGAAGCTGGTATATGGATGAGAAAATGTCTGTTATGGCTTCTTAGGCGACCATCTATTTCTAACCATGATAAATGTATTTAGAGAGAATTTTCAATTAATTTTTTTTAGTCTACTTGAACTGTTAAAACCTACTGCCCTTTTTTAACACAAATTCAATTAGTACCGCTTCTGTGCTTTTATTTCCCTTGAAGTGTAGAACAAATATTTCCATAAGTGAGGCTTTCCATAGGCATTTCAAAAGAATCTTTTTGGAGAGACATCTCTTTAAAAATTGATGTAATGATCAGCGAATATTCAAGCTGTTCGGGTAACTTCTGATAATTCAGTGATTCAGTGTGATGTTATTTTGATGATAGGAAGACTGGAACGTGCAATTTGTTTCATCTAGTTATGTGGGAAAGTAAGTGTATTGTCCAATGGCTTAATTTTTATACTACTTGAAAAGCACACTTAATTCATTTGAAATTGTTTATTGTCATGTCATGAATGAAAAACCTATTAGCTTTGCACCAGTTAATTTTAGATTAAAATACTGACATCAGTTGTAACCGAAATAAGGCGTGCTTTAAAGGATGTGTGTTATGGTGGCTGTACTTCAGGACTAACAATTGCAGTGAGTTGAGAAGTAATTCTGGCTTAGAGTATGCGAATACTGTGGGTTTCTTTTCCAGTGGAAGTATGTATTGATGGGAAGGTTTTGAGCATTTTATTTACATTGCAGATAAAATGGGAAGTTGAGCAGACTTCCTTTGTAAGTGTCCTATTTTTAGCAAGATAAAAGTGTGATTAACGCTTTCTGTAGCTTTCTGCTGTTATATAAAGCATTTCTAGTTACTGAGTTAATTGGGACAGAAATGGGGCCAGCTGGGAAAATAGCCATGCAACTTCTCTGTATAGTGAGCAAGCATGATGGTGTTTCTATGTGAGGAAAGGGTTGTATTGCTAGTAGTGCTACTAACAACTAACATACTTCCCTAATGTTAGGGAAGAATTGTTTTGCTCTAGATTGGCATGTGAAGGTTATGTATGCATCTGCTGAAATTGCAGAATATACTGAAGGACAAAGAACTTCTGCTAAGAATATGAGGCCTGCAGCATATGTGAAAGTACTAGAGGATAGGCTTAAGAAAGGAGAATAATAATAATCAGAAAAGAAAATACAATTTAAAAAGATACGGTAATAACTGAATTTTTAATAAGCAAGCATCAAAGTGATGTGACTAGTCTTGTAGCCTACTTAACAGCAATTTGTATTAAGGATATGTCACAAAATATTTCTTTGCTTTAAATGCTGATGTTTATCTAAAGATATGGTGCATTTAAAGAACCAGTAAATTTAATTAGCGTATACTGTTCTGGAAAATGTTTCTTTCTGATTATTGCGAGAAATTAAAGTAACAGATCTTTTTAACCAAAGTAGTGTTTAGTAGGTTAGTTCTTGTAGTTAATAAAACTAACTTGGCTGTTTTTGGAAAATTATATGAATGGAGATGTGTGTGGGGTTTTGGTTTTTTTTGTTTGTTTGTTTATTTGTTTTTTTAACAAAACCTTTTACAAAACCTTTACCAAAAAACCCAAACAACACTATATAAGGTTTTTCCTCCTTTTCCTTTTCTATCAGGGCTTCAGCTATTCTTCTGGTGGAACTTTGTGCTTTGGGAGTGGGAGAGTATTGAACAAGTACGAAATCGTGACACCTGGGAATAGATTATATTATTTTACCAACTGTTTGCCATGAAAGGCAGTTGTCCTCACTAAATCTGGGATGACCAGATGAAGTTCATTCAGGAGACAGAGGAGAGTTGGGAGCATAAGGACAACGTAAAAACAACTACATGTAGTTTAACAATACAGTTACAGTTGAAGGTACAAGTGCTTTCAGGGGTATATATTCTAATCTGAATGTTGGTCAGTTGGTTTTAATGGAAATACTGGGCTTACAGTTAAAATGACTGCAAGCAGCAACATTTTTGCTATGAAACGCAAATCTTGATTCTGTGTTTTGTTTAGGTAGCTCAGAAACTTTTCTCTAACCCTCGGAGGACCTGTATATGCATCTATAGAGATAATCCTCTTTTGACTTTCCTTGTCAAGGGTAGCAAAATTTCAACTTTTACTGTACTTGGATCTCTGTAACGTTGTAATGCAAATTTTCTGATATGCTTAAACAGGTATTTGATTTTTCAGCTTGGATTTAAAGGGCTGGGGGTGCCATTTGGAGATGGCCAATCTGTGGAGGGAAATCTAGCAAAAGCTAAAACTGGAACAAGTTTTTAGCCTCACATAGTCTGATTTGGCAGTAAAGCTGAACCCCGGGAAATGGGAAAGTGTTGTTATAAAAAAAGCTGGGTAGAATTTTGCATTGTCATAAATTGTTCACCTAATAGCACTTAAAATTCCGTCAGGGTCTGACGTGTTACTTTGTATTTTTGAGCAGCTAGTGCTAGACAGTCCTTGCCTATTTCCTTAGAATGTAATGCTGATGAGAAGCTGCTCCAGTTTTTGGTCAAAGCTGCTTAAAATGATAAGACTGAGTTTATTCACTGTCATCCTCTTGATTCCTCTAACATATATGTTGTCTGTCTTGCAAAAATGTTGAATATAGACATCCGATATTTTAAAAGCCAGAGGCTGGTGAAAATGTTAAACATGTACCACTTCATTGTTGTACCACTATTTTAACAGGTTCAAGATGAACATGTATTAAGTGGAAATGAGCTGCCTGTTGTTAGAGTTGATTATTTTTCAGTTACTTAATCCCTCCTAAAACTACATCGTGCACTCCTCTTCTCACAGTAACTGATGCAGCTCATAATCCAGAGCTTTTCTCTCAATAGCATTAGTAGACAAGGAAGTGAATACATATCCTTTCTACTGTGCCTCTTACTAGTGAGGGGTTGAGGAAGAACTGGGAAGTGGTGAGGAAAGAAGCACCTGGTTTTGTGAGCAGTCAACATTAACTATTGTTGCTATATCTGTCTGCTGTGAATTGGAGCTTTAAATAGCTACAGTAATAAAAACTAGTATGGGATTCACTTCAGCACTTCCCTGTAGCTGCTGTAGCTTTCTGTGCTGAAAAGATACTTCTAGAATTGGCTTGCTGTAGCGTTGCTGATAGGACTAAGATTTATGTGCTTGCTTAAGAACAGTCAGTAGAGTTTTGGATTAGCCCATATTAGCATGGCTCACAGTTGCACAAGATCCCCTAAATTCTGGTTGTTGACTGTCTTTTCCACCAGGGTGCAGACTCGTAAGCAATTTGTATGTTTTGAAAATTTCTCCCATCATGCACAGCTATTGGAAAGTATATTCCAAATAAGTCTCAGGTACAGAAAAACTGTTATCTTCTAATCTAGTGTCACCCAACACTAAGGGGACAGACGGGTT